AATCCACCAAGTTGCCTCGAAGAAAGAGTCTCCTTAGAGTTAGCCCATTCTTGCCAGAAAACATTTGTAGCTTTTTTTTTAAAAAATAGGGAGGAGGCCTGAGAGTGTCAATATAGAGCAGGTTAATGAACAGAGCACAGAACTAAAGTGAGCTAAATGAAACTATCAGAGAACAGAACCCAGTAGGAATAATAAGACTTGTGGCCAATAAATGTAAATAATTTAATGATTTTTAAGGACACAACACCTGTCCAGTCTGGTTAAGGACAACCAACCAAGTACATTACCTCACATGAGGGTTAAAATTCCTCCATTGGTTGAGTCACTGGTTTGTAAAAGACAAAACAGCTGTTTAGAGGATAATGGGTGAGGTTCCAGATGGCTTCTGCTAATGTTCTCATAAACCATACAATTAGAATCACATCCTAAAAGCACAGCATTATGTGCTGGACAGTTTTCCAAAAGAGTACCCAGATTTCTAATAAAGAAGCAGAGTCGATCCCTTCCCACAGTAGGCATAAGCATTCATTGAATTGAGTTAATATTGATCAAAGTCAGCCTGAACCATTAATGACCAGCCTCTAAACAATTTCCTTAACAAGCAAATCAGGCTTCACATTTTCCGAAAATAAAATAGCAACCCCAGCAAGCATAATGACTAAGAAATCCTCTCCTCTCCAGTCAGTTAGTTTATATGTGTAATCTGCAAGGGTTTCTTGTTAAAAAAAAAGAAAAAGAGGGGGGAGGGGAGGGGAGGGGACAGATTCTTTTGTGATAGCTATTGAAATAGGAATGTTTGTTTCTTGATGTCTCTGCAGTCCATTAACTTTCAGAGATCACATGCAGGCTTGCTTGCTGTTTTCATTATGAGGAAAGAGGAAGAGACAAGGCAAAGAGAACTCCACAGAACAAAAGCCAAAAAAAGAGTACCATTTAGTTCGTAATCCCCAGCATTACTGCTATTCAAGGAAACAAACACTTTAGTCATCAGTTTCCACAGTTTATACTGCTTTTTCTTACTAAACTCCACTACAGAGATTTTCCTGAGAAGACAGCAAAAACAGATATGGACACTTTTCTTAATGACTTAAAGATCTGGACTTTTTTCTTTCACATCAACTGCATATTTCCCCTTGGGCTCATTAAGAAAACTATTAATACTTTCCAGGGGTTATCCTCTCTTAGGCCACTGAGCAGCAGGGAGATTGGAAAGGTTATCAGCCGCAATCCATACCCAGATTCACTTGTGATCTCTAGGCCACAGACCCAAGTCAGCAAACCCCAGAGAGAACGGATGCTGTGGAATAGCTACAATGGTGCAAATGATGCAGTCACCCCAGGGCCCAAAAGGTGATGGGCACCCAACCAGAGTGAAGAGCACTCAGATCTAGCCACACACGCATATCCTCGCTCATGCCACCACTAGCCCAGCAGAAGCTGAGCCATGCCACCACACCACAGCGGAGAGGGGTCACTGGGGGAAAGCAGTGTCCAGAGGTGGCTGGGATGGGGCACCCCAGGTGTGAGCAGCAGGGAAGGATGAACAGAGAAGGTGTGGGGGAAATTGCAGCACCTGCACACAAGGGGGACCAGATATGGGAAACGCATCCTCCCCTCACCCCCCACCAAGAGACAGAGAGCAAGGTAAAATCATCAGCCTCTTTGCATAGTGTGGGGGAGTGGAGGGGAACTGGGGAGTGTTGCGATGGAGGAATGGGGGGGGGGGGCTACATAGCAGTTGAGGGTGGGGGGCAGGTGGTTAGAGCAGAACCAGGTAGAAACTGGGGGGTTGGATCAGAGCTGTTGAGGATGGGTGAAGAGGGTTAGAGCAGAGCAGTAGGGGACCAAGGGCAAGGGATTAGGGAAGTGAGGGTCAGAAGGGGAGCTAAATGGGCCTGCATGGGGTGATTGGATCAGAGCTGGGGGAGCTGAGGGCTGAATTGAAGGAGGCTGGAGTGAGATTGAAGGAGTGCTGGGGAGATCCTGGATCAGAACTGGAAGGAATGAGCGGGATACAGAGAGAGCTGATGATCTGTAGGGGGACCATGGGGTTGGGGGAGGGAAGCTAGGGAGGTGCTGGGACACTGGATGGGGCTGATTTGGAACTGGAGAGGAGCAAGTCTTAGAATCTGGAATGGGGCCCCTAACCTATTCTTGCACATGGGCCCTCTGGGGCCTTGCTACACTGCTGTGGGGATCAAGGGGCTAACACTGGTCCTGACAGTTGAAAGTCTCTTTAACACATCTGAAGTCTTGCACTCTGCCAAGAAGCTACCTCTTGGAGGTCAAAGTGTAGGGGAAAAGTGAGAACTGCCAAAACCCAACCAGAATTGGACCTTGCAAAGGAAATTAAACCAAAAGTAAAAGGTTCTATAGCCATATAAATAAAAGGAAAACAATGAAAGAAGAAGTGAGACCACTAAACACTGAGGAGGGAGTGGAGGTTAAAGATAATCTAGGAATTGCCCACACCTAAACAAATACTTTGCCTCCATTTTAATAGGGTTAATGAGGAGCTTAGCGATAGTGGCAGGGTGGCTAATGGAAATGAGGGTATGGAAGTAGAAATTACCACATCTGAGGTGGAAGTCAAACTCAAACAGTTTCATGGGACCAAATCAGAAGGCCTGGATAATCTCCATCCAAGAATATTACAGGAACTAGCACATGAAATTGCAAGACCAATAGCAAGGATTTTTAATGATTCTGTAAACTCAGGGGTTGTACCCTGTGCCTGGAGAACTGCTAATATAGCATCTATTTTTAAGAAAGGAAAAAAGTGACCCAGGAAACCACGGGTCTGTTAGTTTGACCTCAATTGTATGCAAGATCTTGGAACAAATTTTGAAAGAGAAAGTCATTAAGGACATAGAGGTAAATGCTAATTGAGATAAAATACAACACGATTTTACAAAAGGTAGATCATGCCAGACGTACCTGATCTGCTTCTTTGAGAAGATAATTGATTTTTTAGACAAAGGAAATGAAGTAGATCTAATCTATCTGGATTTCAATAAGGAATTTGACAGAGTTCCACACTGGAAATTATTAGTTAAATTCGAGACAATGGGGATTGATATGAGAATTGAAAGGTGGATAAGGAACTTGTTAGTGGGGACACTATAATGGGTCATACTGAAAGGTGAACTGTCAGACTGGAGGAAGGTTACTAGTGGAATTCGCGATGGCAAGCTGGGGGAGAAGTGTGCTCAAGAGAGGAGGCGGAGGTGAGCTGGGGCAGGGAGCTGCCAGTGGGTGCTCATAGGCGCCAACTCCGTGGGTATTCTGGGGCTGGAGCATCTACGGGGAAAAACCACAGCCGCGAAAGCAGCAGCATGTTGGAGCTGCCTGGGCTGTGCACTGGCTCCTGTGAGCAGTAGCCTGACATGCTGATACTTTCGCTGCTGTGGTTCCTGGCCCTGTCACTGGCCATGGCCCTGCTGGTCTCACTGGCTGTCGTTACAGCCCTACAGCTCCACGAATAACTGCTTTATAGCCACATCTGAGGATATGAATTGTATATCCATGCAGGGCTCTACATATTTAAGAAAGATGAAGGAGTTATTTAAGTTAAGCACCAGTGTGGACACAAGAACAAGTGGATATAAACTGGGCATCAATAAGTTTAGGCTTGAAATTAGATGAAGGTTTCTAACCACGAGAGGAGTGAAATTCTGGAAAAGCCTTCCAAGGGGAGCAGTGAGGGCAAAAAAACTTAAGTGGCTTAAAGACTCAGCTTGATAAGTTTATGGAGGGGATAGTGTGATGAGAGACTGCTTACAATGGTGTGTGGCCAATCTGCAACTGCTAGTAGCCAGTATCTCCAACACCTGATGATGGAACACTACATGGCTCTGAGTTACTACAGAGAATTCTTTCCCAGGTGTCTGGCTGGGTGGTCTTGCCCACATGCTCAGGGTCTAACTGATCGCCATACTTGGGGTCAGGAAAGAATTTTCCCCTAGGTCAGATTTGCTGAGACCCTGGGTTTTTTTCACCTTTCTCTGCAGCATGGGGCACAGGTCACTTGCCGGTTTAAACTAGTGTAAATAGCCGATTCTCTGTAGCTTGACCTCTTTAAATCATGATTTGAGGACTTCAGAAACTCAGCCAGAGGCTAGGGGTCTATTACAGGAGTGGGTGGGTGAGGTTCTGTGGCCTGCAATGTGCAGGAAGTTCAGACTAGATGATCGTATCAATCCCTTCTGGACTTAAAGTCTATGAGTTGATAAGAACCAGGTGAGTCATTTTTGCAATTTGCCCAACACTCAAGCAAGTGTTTATTTCTACTGTCATTTTTACTATGAAATTACAGGGCTAATTCAGGCTCTTGAGTCTGAGCTACAATCTGTAACTGCAGACTCAGACGCCATCACAGTGCCAGACTCAAATCACAGGCCACTCCCACTATGCCACCAAGATCTCTAACTGCTGAGTCAGCATCACAGTTACCTTTCAGTTGGGAAGGGACAGCCAACAGCCCACAAGTAACTTTCTCACGAGCACTCAGAGTTTGGCTCCTGCAAAACCTTTGCCACAACTTTAGAGGCACCTGATAACTTTCTAGTGAAACCAGACCCAAATTTGCTTTTCTCACATCCTCAAACAGCTTGAGTCCTCCTGCCCCAAATAATTTCTATAATTCAGCAAGAAGAAATATAGCTTTTACAGCTACTGTAGTAGTTTCCCTTGAGAAACAGAAAGAACATCACACTCCTTTCTAGACAAGTAAAAGAACCTTTAAAAAGACCTTGTTTCCTCATAACAACAAACAGGTTAATGTGCGAAGAACAAGAAGTGCAATAAAATTTCATTTTTACTGGTTAGTGTATGCATAAAAACTGCCAAAGCAACTGAAGACACATGCCCTAAAAATAGTGCTCTATTGTCAATGTATAAAAAGATGAGGCATGTCTCATGGACATGAATCATGTTCAATTAAGTGTTAAGCTCTGCCAGTGCTAAAAATGAAAGGCTACATCAACTGATAAACTAGTCTGGGAGTAGGCATGCAACTGGAAAGAGCTCACTACGCCAGTCTGACTCTCCTGCTTTCACTGGCTGTCAGAAAGCAGTAACTCATATTTCTGCCTGAGCAATGGAAGGAGTAGTTACAAGACACTGGCTGGAAACTCCTGTACGTTATCAGGAGCAGTTTGCTGTCCAAGATCTGGAAGCATGCAAGTTGGATCACTCTTTATATGCTTTGCCAGGCCCATCCACAGCTGAGGTGAGAAGCAGACATGCAGCAAAAAGTATGGCTACAGCAGAGAAGGACAGCACGGAGGAAGGCAAACCCAGCTTTCAGGTCTTACTGGATGTTGTGCAGTTCTGTCCTGAAGATATCATCATTCAGACTTTTGAAGGCTGGCTCCTGATCAAAGCTCAGCATGGACGTAGGATGGACGAACATGGTTTCATATCCAGAAGCTTTGTTAGACAATACAAATTACCTAATGGAGTCAAGAAAAAAGATTTGTCTGCTCTCTTCTGCCATGATGGCATTTTGGTTGTTGAAATTAAGAGCTCAGAGGGAATGGATTAAAGTCTTGTTAATTGTTATTGGTGAGATAATATTATTGCTAATGTAACTCAAACAATTCTTTGCAATGTAGCCATGCATGTGAAGTTGTTGGCTTGTATTTACAATGGAGATAAGAACATAACTTTGCATATATTTTTGGCATGTTGAGTTTTATTGTTTGATGTGAAATGTGAGACTGCTTTCCTTCAGCTGCATATGTGCTGGAGACCCATGCTTTTTATACAAAAGAAAGTTTATGGCAGTCAAAACAAATGAAAAATATTTCATATAATGCTCTCTGATGAGGTACCAAGTGTAAAGCATGTATCAAAATGCCAATAAACAGGGGTTACCTTTGTAATATGTATTCATGAGATGAATAATGAAAGGAGCAGCAGATATTAGTCTGAGTTTTATGGAATTTTAATTTACATAACAGGAAAATGCCATGTTTTTATTAGTTATATCACTATATAATGTTAACTTCAACATTTCTTAGGTGATGTCAAAGCACGCATGAGCAGCATTCATTTGGTCTGCAAAATAATTTATGGGAAAAACTTTTTGAATTCAAATTCATTTCTAAATATTACTTGCAAGTGTGCCCTTTAAAAATATATTGTACTTAAGGGAATATTGAACAGCAGAATAAACATTAAAAATAGTTTTGCAAATGCAATGTTTCAAAATGTGCCATCTTTCTACTAATACTGAGTCAATTTATTTTGATGGAAATTTTTCAGATGCTTTGTTTTTAATCACAGTTCATTTTGTTTAAATATCCTGGCTTTCTGCCAACAATAGAAGCAAAATATTGCTCACTTATAAAAGCTGAAAAGGCCCAAAGTCATTCTTGTGTAGCTGCCCCTGACTTAAAGGCATTAATATGCTAGGGATGAATTTAGTCCAAGAAGTTTACACAATCAACAGGATAACAATCATGTAAATGTTTTCTTCTGTGACTTTCTTTAGAACTTAAGATCCTGATCCTGGGAGCAGATGCTTGTGCCCACAGAGCCTAATTGGATCTGCACCAGCATAGGGGTTCAAATGCCTGATTGCAAGATGGGGCCACTTAGAAGAACATAGGGCCACTTTCTTCTCTCAATTATACTAGAGCAATCCTACTCATTTCAATGGAGTTCCGCAACTAAGGTTAGCCAGGACTCTGCCTGCTATGTCTAACAATTGGTCTTCAACATTTCAAAAAGATTTGTTACAAATGGTACTGTAAATACGCAAACATTCTAGGGGAACTGCAGCTGCAAGTGAAACTGCCTCCTTTTATGTGTACTTAAGATAAGTATGACTGCTGTGCTATGAATAGTAAAGGAATGCAGAGTGGAAAGTGCCAAGCTAAATGGTCTCTGTGTATATAATGTCTTCTGCAGTTTCCACAGTATGCATCCGATGAAGTGAGCTGTAGCTCACGAAAGCTTATGCTCAAATAAATTGGTTAGTCTCTAAGGTGTCACAAGTACTCCTTTTCTTTTTGCCAATACAGACTAACACGGCTGTTACTCTGAAACCAAGCTAAATACAGACTCTTGCTGATGGCCATCTGCTGTTCAGACAAATTAAAAACATTTTTGAACTAAATCAAATACAAATAAAATTCTGAGTATTTTCAATCACAAGGGAAACATCAGATTAACAAAAATGCTTCTACCCCAGGCTCAAAAAAGAGAGCTCTCTAGTTTATAGTGAAAACACTAGACTTGTGTGTTTGTGCTCGCATGATGTGAAATGTTTATATTAGTGATCAATTACATTTGAAGAAATTTGAAAGCCATTGGTTTGGAATAGGCCAATACTCAATTTTTAATTATATTATATTATTATTATTATTATTATTTTTGCACTCCAAACTCACACCAATTTCAAAGCAAGTTTGCTCTGCATAAGGAATGATGGATTAAGTCCAGAGCCTGCAAATCACTGCATATGCTCACCCTGCTGCACCCAAGCACAGTGGATTGCAGGTTGGGGGCCTACATTTATTTTCCTAACTGATGTACACATTGGTCTCTTTTTGTGTGGCACCATAGCCAGCAAACTAATGTTTTCTAGAAAACTGATTTAAACATAAAATAAAAGTCCTTCAACCCTCTCCTTTGCCCCCAAGTTTGCCTTTCTGAATCCATAGGTTTGAGGAAATTAGAATGAGGTTCCAGTCACAAAATTCAGACCTAGATCCAGATTCCAAACACTTCGAAGTCCAGGTCCTTTCAGATCCAGAGATTTTGTTGAGCCCATAATATAAGTTAGGGCCATCTGCACATTTTAGATGCAGAACTGAGTTTAGATGTGTTTGGATCCATGGTTTTTACACCATCAGATGTATTGCGATGTGGGTTCAGGACCATCTAAAGAGATAACCAGCTTTAGTTCCATTTAAAAAAACCGTAATACTCTTCTATTGCTCATTTTACTTTACAAAGAATCTGTATGATATGATCATTTAAAACTAAAAGTCCAGCCCTATCTATTATTACAGTGAAGGCATTCATGTACCTAGAGATAACATAGGAGATTTACAAACTATGGATTTGGCAATTTTAAAAGTGATACAAACATAAAAACCATGGCTGATTTTATAAAAAATCAAGCTCTGACTAAACAAATGGAAATTTGGCAAATAATTAGTCCATAATCCTGACAGCATTTGTATACACATGAAAAGAGCTGGCCAAGAAGAGTGCAACCGTTGCACCCAGCTCTAGATTTTCCCAAAGCATAAGGGGCTGATTCTGAACTCATTTATGTTGTAAGTCACGAGTAACTCCACTAAAGTCAGTGAGGTTACACTGGTGTGAAACCAGTGTGTTGGGCAAATAGAGTTCACACTGCTGGAAGAGTTATCATTGTAGGTTTCGCTACTCCCAGAAGTAGTGCTGTAGTGCGTAGGTTTCACATCTGAGCTACTGTGAATAAAACACATGCTTCTCCTGAAGCCACATGTGCCTCTCTGTGGGTCCGCTCCTTCCTGCACCATAATATGACAATACTCTCTCTGTGTTCTCTGAGACCAGAGCTATGGAGGCTGCACTACAGCATTTGACCTGGAGTCAAGGGAGTTGATCGCTACATTTTAACATGTCCACTCCTTAACTTGTCCATTCCATGTCAAGTGTTTCCAACTCTTACAATTTTGTCACAATTCTCATACTATCTGGTGGGCTTTTTAGCCCACCAGTTCCTGGAGCTTTCATTTTAAAGATTCTTGGCTTTCATTTAAAAAAAAAAGTTTCTTGTCCTTTCTGTTGTGGAGAAAATCTTGAAAATGTGAACTGTAAAGGCTCAAACACCAAAAACCAAATAAAAATCCAGAATAAGAGTATCCACACTTGCAGTTATTCTGGAATAGCCATTCCAGAGTAACTCATGTGTAGACAAGTACTTATATAAACAATCATACAACATAAAATTTGGCAGCGAATTTGGCCATGAGAAACGTGAAAAGACCCATCCTTAAGACAGCTAGGGTCTGATTCTCCACCTGCTTACAACAGTAAATCAGAAGTGAACTCACTGAAGTCTGTGGAATTATACTAGCATAAAAGTGATAGCAGTTGGGGAATTAGGCCCTTAAAGTGCATTCACATGCTACACTGATGGGTGATGTGACTTAGTTGGGGATTGGTCCTGCTTTGAGCAGGGGGTTGGACTAAATGACCTCCTGAGGTCCCTTCCAACCCTGATATTCTACGATTCTATGGTGCAGTATAACAGTCTGATCCTGCACGGCTAGAATCAATGAGAACTTTGCTATTGTCTTCAATGGGCACAGGAGAAGAACCAAAGTGTATGTAACGAGTAAATACATACATGGAACTATACTGGAATATGTATCATCCACTCATGAAACAATACACTCATTGCCTATATTGTAGTATTAAGTATAATCTAAGGGGAAATGTCTCATTCATTTTTGCCCTATAGTTTATTAAACGCTTTTGAATTAATGATTTTTAGTGGATTTGGCAAAACAGTTACACATTCTTTCTAAGTGGCTGAACTAACGTATTTTGAATGTTATTTCTAATGTTTGCTTTTCTAACACGATTAGATGTGAATATGAGAGACATGAAGGGAGATATTAATATTGCTCAGGGACGGTGATAATTTTATAAATTGCATAGAATTTCATAACAGCCTTAGCTCAAGGCAGATTTATGACACACTTATATGATTAAATAAAGAACTCTGACACTGGCTGTCTACAAAAGCCTGGCCAAGAATAAGCAATATATGCTGCTGTATGAACTGCAGAGCAGCTGTTATTGAGCCTTGTCAGTTCCCAATGGTGAAAGGATTAACTATGTAATCGATCAAGCAGTGTCCAAGTGACTCCAAGCACTTTAAAAATGCCTTTTAGAAGTCTCAAGTTCGGATTAATGACCAAGAGCCAAGGCACAAAAATAAAGAGCATGGTTCTGCAAGGTCCTAAGCATCCTCAATCTCCATGGACTTATTTAGTTGTATAGTATCTGCTGTATTCAGGGTATCACAGTCTCTTTATGCAATCGGATACTCACAGTGCAATGAACACAGGCAAATATGACAGTCATTATTCACTCAAGAATAGTTCAGACACAGCCTTGGATATTTGAAAAGAGTGCACTGTGCTCCTCAAATTTCCTGTAAAATAGGCCAAATATTGCAGACCTTACTCCGTTCATAATCAAAAAAATTCCCATTGATGTGATTTTTTCGCCTGAATAAGGACTGCAAGATTTGGTCCTTAGTGAAAGAAAGAATGTTGATGAGCATACTTGCACACCAGGGTTATTTCCTCCTCCCTTTTAAAAGGGCCATGCAATGCACCCGGGCAGCCGCCTGTGGAGACAGATGGGCCCACCATTTAACATCTCACCGGAAGGACAGCACTTCTCAACGCAGCTACTGCAGTGGCACTTCAGTGCTAGCAGTAGGGATGAGTATCAGTCCTATATTGGGTCTTCTTTAAGGACACTGACAACTGAAAAATCACATATCCATCTGAAAATTTTGTAGGTACCATTACTGCAAGAAAACCCTAAAAATGACTGAAACTGAGAGAAATTGCAGAATAATTCATTTGTTTACTGTGCAGTTGACAGCATGTTGTACCTAGTCAAGTTCACTGTTCCATTGTTCCTGCCTGCGCTTCCCTAGGCTCTGCAAACCCATCTCATTTGTACTGTTTATTTCCTCTCCTTAAGGAGGAGACTGAAGAGGCAGCAGGCAGGAGTGTGCGGAGAGAGAAAAAGGGGGGAGGAGGGCTGGGCCTGAGCATGTTTGATGGTTGTGCTGTCATGTTCACCTAAATGAACCTTCTATCAAAAACAGGGGAGGAGGAAAACTCTTACAGACAATTGTAGGAAAAGATTTTTAAGATGTCACGGCACAATATTTAAAGACTGCTTTTTGAGAAATGTTGGATTCATTTAATTAATCAATTCTTCAAAGTTCAAATGAACAGTGTCCCTGTAGAACAATTTTAACTAAAACTTTTGGGCTGAAAGTATAAGTTATGTTACATGTTGTTTTAAATCTTCAATACACCACGATTTAAAAATAAATCACTTACCCACTTTCTTTGGCTTACTTTCCACTCAGATTTTCCCTTCAGTTTCCCCTCTATTACATTATTAATCTTATA